CGTACGTTCCAAAGAAATAAAAGATGAGCAATCAATTGATTAAAACTGACTCTGGAAAAGAGGACTCATGTACAGTAAAATTCCGTTACCACGAATCGCTTTAAAAGATTTTCTTTGAATTTCCAAAGAAATGTCATTACAACAAACTATTTCTCTTCTATAATCTCGGTGAAACGATTCTTTGCCTTGATTACGTGTGAAGGGGCCATAGGAAATTTCTAATAATTGGCACAATATGGGAAAACCCAACTCGTGCAAATTTGAATATCGAAAATGTACTGTGCTAATCTTTTTGTACAGAAAGTTTAGCATTGCAGGAAATATGAAGCTCTGATGTGTCCTAAATGTTTCCAAAAAAATTCAAGAAAGGGGAGGTTTGAAATGAGAGAATTTTGCTCTAAAATCCGAGTTTTCTTCATTACTTCATCCAAAGAAGTTGTAAATGATGGTAATTCTTCACTTCTCCGCTGTGAAAGTAATTGATGGCATTTGTTCACCTGTTTCCCATGGAATAATGAACAACAATCTCAATTTTTCATCAGGTCCCAGATATTTAATTGTAAAGGGATTTTATTTTGTACGAAATATTCTCGAAACAGGAAAATGTCAAATGGTTTTTCACCCTTACTGTCTTTTTACAGATATTTATTTTGTTTGTTTCGTTTGTTTTTTCTTCTCGGAGGAAAAAAATTCGTGAATTTGAAAAAACGGAATTAAATTGAAACGAAGGTTGCTTGTTCGAAGAACAAAAAAAAGAAGTACGATAAGTACCTTCATGGGGCGTCCCTGCATGTGGCGCTCGACCCAGCGCAGGAGCGTGAGGACGCTGTCTGTGCTGGACAGGCGCCTGGTGGCGGCCGTGCGGACCGCGTGCGACGTCGTGACTCGGAACGTCGTCGCGATGCCCTTGAGCGCCCGCATGGCGTCCTCGTCCGTGTGGTCGTCCCCGCAGTAGATGACTCGCACCCGCTCGCACCAGTCCACGCCGTACATGGTGCGCAGGATGTGGATGGACGCCCTGCCCTTGTCCCACTGGACCGGCGGTCGGGCTTCGATGGCACAATGCGCCGGGGACGCCGTGAACCTGAAATAACGAACAACCAAAAAATGCATCAAACAAAATTACAAAGAAGAAACATCCTTCTCGGCGTCTTGTCTAAACCTGAAGTCAGAAACAAAAATTCACAAAGCAGCATTAAAATAAAAAAAAACTCTAGATATTGAGTTTTTTCTATTCCTGTTTCTCTTCAGGACATCAATTGTAAAGAATTCATTGTATACTTATGTAACCCAGAGAACTAAGTATTTACTTGAGTACCACACCTTTTTTTTTACAAAATTGAGAGGATAAAGGGGGTGCAACATCATAGGCAGGTTCACCTTATGTCAAAAAAGTTTTACGTGTGTACTTCATTCTGATGGGACATTCTGAACAAATTTCATCAGAGAAAGTTTTCATGGGAACACCTGAAAATCAATTGAATTTAGGATCAAATCAAGCCTAAATTCAAATTTGGGCGTTCTTATTTTGGGATGTTGCAGTCTTAGAAGCACTAAAAAGGGGGCGCGTCTCACTCGGGGCACATGGTACTCGAGTAAATGCAGCACGTACCACATTAACTCTGATACCACATGCCCCTAATAGTGTATGTATAAATGCAGAATTCAGTTCATTGTCATGAAGTGGAAACAGGGCAAATGAATCGCATAATCTGTCATCAAAATTCCCCGGCGAAATAATTAGCATAATAGCGAGGCTTGTGCTTTTTTCTTCTTTTCTGTTTTTTGTACCCATGCTTGGTGATGATTTTCGTGGCGTCCGTCTTCAGCTTGGAATGACAATTGGCGGGAGCACCCCTGTAGTGGAAAGTGAGCAAGGCGCCCTTGGGCTCAATCCAAGCCCCGTCCCTGCAGCAGGACTCTTGCAGTTCTTGCTTGATTTGAGAAAGGTTTTCCTCGTGGCCCTGGGGCACGGGATGCACGAACTTGGTGCCGTCCGGATGCAGGATCTCCAGCCCGTGGTTCCCGGCGTAGGTCAACCCGTCAATGCCCACCATTTCTTTCACGTCCTGCAGGCTTCTCCCCGAGATGATGGCGATATGCACATCCGCGATATTGGACAATCGCAATAAAACCTGGAAATTTAAAATAAATGGCACCTTCAAAACTCAAACATCCCCAAGTTAAATACAGTACCTCCTTGGGCATCAATTTTTTTTTTAAATAAAGACTCAAATTTTCTGGAGCCCTTTCTCAGCTACTATTTTATTGACACAGAAAAAGAAATGAATACGTGGCTCGATGTGTTTTGAAAGGAAGTGAAAGACAAATTGGGGCAAATGAACACTCGCCTCAAATTTCAGCATATCACATTAATTCATTCGAGAAGTAATTCAATGCTCGGAAAATAATAAATTAAGGTGTCCTGCAATTCATTTTTCTCTCCCCTAATAAAAACGGTCACTGTATTCATCATTTCTTTTCCTTCAAAATAAAAACACAGCATTTCATGGCAATTACTTCCATTCTTCTTCCGATTCGGAATTGATGCTGTTTTCAATGTTTAAAGTCGATGAGACGTTTCCCATTTCAGCATTTTTTTTTTACATATAAAACAGACAAGTACAATTACAGGAAAAGTTGCAAAGTCATGAATACCGTACTGTAAACATGTAATAAATAGGGTGCTCGGATGAAATCAATCACCTTTTTCGTTTCCTTCGGAAGGAACGCCAGATGCGGCTTCGGGGCAATTGGTGCCAGGGTTCCATCGTAATCCAACAAGAGTGCCAATTTGCTGCTCTCGTCGATGTAGCTTGCAAGGAACTCGTCGAAGTCCTCCACCGACATCGGCTCAATCTGAGTGCTGGAATAGGAATAGATAAGAAAAAATTATTCGAGCGTATTCAGTTGAACCCCCGATACCTCGAACCTCACGTCAAGAAATTAAAGAGAACCACCCACATAGAGTAAACAAAATCAATTTCTTCTTTTCTTTTTTTTATCCTGTACCTCGAGCCATTTGTGGCTGGTGGTGCATTGGGTGCAGGGATGCCATCCTCGGCAATCAGGGCCCCCATGTCAGCCAGGAACGCATTCAGCCAGTGGGAAATGTCCATCTGTCTCTCGCGACGTCGCAAATGATACATCCGCAGTTCCCGTTCGTCCTCCGGCATCGTCAGGGCCCGGTGGATCACTTCCGCCACTTCGCTGATTTCGTAGGGATTCACCACAAGTGCCTCGTGCATGGTCTCTCCCGCCCCAGCGAATGGCGACAAAATCAACACTCCAGGCTTGTCAACCTAAATGGAAGTAAAAAGCCACACCATTTTTTTCACCGTATTTTGTCAAATGAATTTCCAGAAACCCAGAGAAAATTTTTTCATGACCAAATTTACATGACAAATTGGGACTGTTCGCCTGAAATCAGGGACACATCGCTTGAAAAATAAAGCCATTTTTTCTGCCCAAAAGCGAAGTAACGAAAATTCTCAAAGGATTACAGTAAATTTATTTTTAAAATTCACATACAAATTGTTACATAAATTTTAGCCCGCATTCGTTATAAATTCCAAAATGTTGCCCTCCATGAGGGGTCTAACAAAAGTTCTCAGAATAGAAATTGAAAATGCATAAAATTCAGCTGAAAACCCATTATTGTTCAGGAAAACATTCTTTGGCAAAAGAAACAATACAGCCCAGTTTGACAATTTTTTTTGTTCGAAGTCACCCAGACAGCTTCCTGCTCATCACTCAAAAGATGAGGCATCCAACTTGCAGATTTTTTGGTGTACCCCAGCTTTCCCTGGAGAATTTTTGAAATTGACATGGCATTAATTCCAAGGGTTGC